TGCATGCCGGATCAATGGTCCATCGCCAACAACCGTACATCATGACGGGCCCACGCCAGTGATTAAACCCAAATTCGTAAAAGATACTCATGACTTCATGAGATGAATGAATGATCCACCCAAACCAAACCAAAAACAAAACAAAACCCGTAAATGTAAAAGGCGGTTTTATTTTTTTTTTTTAATTTAGGGGTTTTATTATTATTATTATTATTTTTAATTTAAGGGGAGAGAGAGTTGCTTTCCATCATACCATCCATCTCACATCATTCTATATTATCTATCACCTCAAGAGTCAAAGAGTCAAGACACCATTATTATTCATATTTTTTTGCGTGCACTTACATCAGATGGAGTGTCACACCACACCAGCACAAGCACATTGATGGTTGAGCCCAGCCTGCATTGTGTTGCCCACCACTCTCCTTACTCCTTAGGTCCACTAAACACTATTTTCTTTTATAATAATAATAACCCTCGTGGTTAATAATTCAATTTGATTTATAAATTTGTTGTGAATTCGGTGGGTGGGGTGGGGGCCTTGAGTTATGATCAGGTGTATTGAGTATGATTAAAAGGAAAAGAAAGCCCAGCTCAATCTAGAGAAAAGAAAATGGTCAATTGTCAACATCCATGAAACAATGGGTTGCCCTCCATTAGGTGAACAGGATTTTACTACCTTGAAAAATGAAAACATCGTCGGCCTCCAATCGATTGTTTTACTTCATCCCTGTATATAAAATTATAAATAAAAGGTTGCTGTATTTGTCTAATGTCTTGAACTTAACTCTGCGAGCGAGCGGCCAGCGCCTCCGGAAGGGGTCCAGTCCAGCTGCGGTTGGTTGGCCCTTGTTGTTGCACTGGCTTGCACGGTTCCACCCGTCCACCCCGAGTTTGAAGCCTTCAACTCGCCCTGAGGAATGTCACCACTCGCTACTCTTTCACGAGAGGACCACCCCCCCBCCCCCCCCCCGTTTTTTCTATGTTTATTTTTTTCGTTTACGGTTTCTACGTTCTTGCATGGCTGTAACCAGGCCGAATTTCAAAGCAGATCCATTCGGACCAATCACATAAGATTCTAATTCATTTTTTATAAACATATTCTAATTCAATTATTGAAATTTCAAATCTAAASCAGGCCGATTTTGGACAATGTGTTTTCCTCATTGCCTTTAAAATAAAGGGAAAAAAAAAAACATTTCTACCATATACATATGAAATAGGTTTTATATAAGATACGTTTGGTTTCTGATCTGAATCACAATCCCTTAAAAACGGAACTGGAATGGCCTATTTTCATGTTTGCTTGTCCATCTAGAAGCTACAATTGAAATCAACCAGTAGTACACTGAAGTTGCATGTGGATTAGTAAAGGTTTGAAGCTTCAACTACTGGAGGAAGAGTGCACCGACAAAAATGGAAGGTGGGATGCTTGGTGTTGACTGTTGAGTAAAGAGAAATAGGGTTAAGGGGTTTTTTAAGTTATTTGTCTTTTTTTTTCTCGGCAACAAGAATAAGATTCTCATTCCCATGAGGAGGTTGGAATGGGCCCAATGGCCATTTTCTCAAATAGGAGAATGCCATCTTATCAAAAAATGAGAATCAAATTTTCATTTCACCCAACCAAAATGGCTGGAATCATAATGGATCGTTTTAATTCCAATTCTAGATCCATATTCCTGTGAATCGAACTGACCCTAATGGTTTGTTTAGTTTTTGAGAAATAGTGAGATGAGATGAAAAAGGATGGGGGTGAGAAAGGAAGAATTTATTTTTCACATTTTTTGGTCCATATGTTTGTTTGCTGAGACCTACTATCCTACGGAATATGCTTCTAGCATTTGGTTGATGAGACGAAAGGATGAAGAAATACAGGTGTCGGGTTTCAACTCGCTGGCGAGGAAAAACTAGTCCAGCTAACCATGGTTGAAGGGGCGATTCAATGAGTTGAGGGCCGACCATGCTATTTAATACTTTGTAGATAAACAACCATCACACGTAACCATCGGAAACGTTACCTTCACTAGAGAAGACGAAGACAATAACCTGTCCTTGCCGTCTTCGTCGGAGATGAAGGATACAGGTGGTTGGAGTTTGGAAAATTTTCTCGTTGTCATCGTACAACTTTCGTTTCTCAGTGGGGTCGCACCTATTTGGTGAGACCCCACATCCCATATTTTGAGAATTTTATTTTCATCGCATCACAACATCTCTCCCAAAACAAACATGAGAAAATAGGAATATTCTAATATTCTTATTTTCTCATCTAGGTTGCGCGAACCAAATGGACTGTAAGGCCCCGTTAGGCATCAATTCTAATATTTTTCATTATCATAATCCATTTAAAAAAGAATGGATTATGGATTTTCTTGATTATAAGAATATATGTGTGAGCATTTGGCACACCTTTTTCTCATAATCAAAATTAAGTCTGGGAACACATCGTTGAGAAGGGCACTCTAGATTTGAAATGATCACTATCTGGAATTCACTCACCATTAGGGGTGAGCAAAAAAAAATCAAATCGACTGAAAAACCGATCGAAACCAAACTGAAAAATCGGTTAACTGAATTAGTCAGTTCGGTGTTTTAAAAAAGCCAAAGGTATTGGTTCGATTTTGGTTAACCAATATAGAAAACTGGTGGTTAACCGAATCTACCGGTATACATATATTTCTATATATTTTATATATTTATGTATATTATATAAATATAGTTGGGGAGGTGATATATGGAACTTTCGACTAGAGTGTTGTGTCAATCGATCTTTTGCATCGGAACTCAAAACTCYAAATGACCAAACCTCAGCTACTAAGAAGAAAATACGCATTAGAAAACAAGAAGAAATAATCGAAGGAAGGGGAAAAAGAAATGCAAGGAAGAAAACGTGGAAAGAACCAAGATTTTACTTGAGATTTTGGCTGGCGCCGGAGGACTGTTACAGAGCTGTTGAGGTTGGAAACTTGGAATAATGGAAGAAGGGGAGGAAGAAAGGAGTCTAGATCTCCTGCCCATGTCTACCCACAACACACATGGAGAACATCTCATCCTCCTGCATAGTATTACTGAGAGGGAGATGTTCCCAATTCACAGGAGTAGTGTGTTGTGGGTAGACGTGGACAGAGTTCTTATTGACAGGAGATTCGAAGTCGGAAGGAAGAAGGGAATGGGGTAGGGTTTCAAGTGCGTGTTTTAAGAATACTGGGAATTACTAAAGTGCCCTCAGTTTCACGTGTGACATAATCACACGTGTTCGTTAATTCAAATTAACAATTAACATGGCAAGAATTGCGTCTCGGAGAAGTGAGAAGTGAACTTTTTTCACTCTGTTTCTAGAGGAATTTTTTTTTTATCTCGTTTCAAATGAGAATTAGTCACCTGATTACACCAAACATGATTCTCATTCTAAGAATCACAAAAATCAGTAGAATCACTCCCAAGGAGTAATGCCAAATGGAGCCTAAATTGATAATTTATATCAAAATGATCATATGGAGGTTAAATTGGCATCAGATCCAATTCTGCACGTATGGGGAGTTCAGATCTCTTCGAGCAAAACCTGAGTCTAGATCTTCTATCAGCAAAAATCGCTTCCAACTTTATTTGTGCCAGTGCATCATGTGTGGAATCCAACCACAAGTTTAAGATTGACCATACAAGTAGGGGTGGATTCGAGCTGAGCCGAGCTAAATAGTACAAGGCTCAAGCTCGAACTCAGCTCGAGTCAAAAACTTATAAGCTTGAGCTCAATTTTAAGAAATTTTTTTTATAAAAATAAAAAATTATATATAAAAATATTTTTATTTAATATTTAAAAATTAAGAATTATAATATTTTRTAGTTTATATATATATATATATATATTCGAGCCGGCTCGCGAGCCTCATGAGCCAAGCTCTATACTCGAGCTTGATTCATTTCTTAATCGAACCTATGAATTAGGCTCGAACTCGACTCAAAACTTGGTGAAACCGAGCCAAACTGAGCTTTTCACGAGCCGAACTCGAATAACTCGTGAAGAACTTAGCTTGTTGCCACTCTTAACAAGTAATGTGCTGACGCCAATTACATTAGAAATATTTTGTTGGCAGGAGATCCCATTAACACAGAACACATTTGGACATCTTTATCCCAACTCAGGCTATAGGTATAGAGATGGGCCCTATGGGGAGTAAAAAGAAAATAAAATAAAACACCAACAAATCAACAATAATAAGTTAATAACAACCACCTAAACCAAAAAAAGAAAAAAGGTAAAAAAATGATTACAGTTGGGGGTTCAACCGTTCGATTGGGTCAGGATTGACCGCGTGCTGAGTCTGTTGACTACCCCGGTCCAATCGAGTTCTCACTTCTCACCATGAAAATGGAACCCACCAAAATTGGTGTATGAGATGTGCGGAGCGGGTTGGTGTTGGAACAGTCAGCGTCTTGAAAGGGGGTATTTAGGTCTTTTCGTTTAGATTTTTTTGGCCGTACCTGCGAAGCGCCGCTGGAATACACAATATGCAGATTTAGCGAAGCGGGATCTGCTAGGCACATCACCGTGCATTCGGAACATATTTCGTAAATAATAACTAACAAATACGGAAAATATTATTCTATGTATGGTAAGATGTGCGTGTGAGGCGCCAGGTGTGAGGAGCAGATCTGGTTTCAGATTTAACGACGCAAAGAGATGGACTGTCCTCTGGGCTCGCTCGTATTCAGCATTCAACCTTACACTAACAGCGTTCAGCTCAGCATCTACGACTCCACTTTTCATTTTCAATTATTTATTTTAATTTTTTTCAGCCATTACCGCCTTTACATGTATTATCTGAAATACCCTCTTTGTCTACAACATCTTAGTAGTAATGCAGTGGCATTTTCAATAAATACAGAAGTAATATAGGGGCAATATTGAAATTTGAAGTATTTAGATTAGTTTCAACTTTCAAATCAAAACCCACGCTTTACTAATTCAAGTATTCAACCATAAACATCTGTAGGCTCTATCCTTATATCCTTATCTCAACTCAACGGGTTAAAATAAAAAGGCTGCTGATGTTGCAGTTACCACACTCAGCAAGGTCAAAACCAGAACTCTAATGGCGGCCAAGAGGAAGAGAGGAAAGCATGTGTTCCCCTTACCAACCTGCTAGTCATATTTTTGACGTGGTTAGGGTTTTCATCACTTTTGATATTTCCCTTTCTTCAAAACGTTGAAATAAATCTCTTTTATATATAGACATCCTCTATTCAAGGCTTTTTGGTTTCCGTGTTTCGTTTCTTCTTTTCTCAAAAAGTCTTCATCCATCGTTCCCTCGATTCTTGAATCCAAAACACCATTATACAGACATCTCGTCGTTTTAGAGGATCTCTGGAAGCATTTCGAGATCTGTTTCCTGGATTCCTTCTTCATTTCTCATCTTTTATAGGTTTTCAATCTCAGAACCCCTCGGTTTAAAGGTTATATGCGCAGATAGAGAAGAGCTAAAGGGAGAGAAAGAGTTGCATAGGGTTCTCTGACATTGGTTCCCATTGTTTGGCTCTATAAATGTTTCTCCGCCGCGTTCAATGTCTCATTATCCTTGAAAGGACTCGTATATTTCTTTGATTTGAGAAGAACCGTGCTGAATATTCGATTTTCATATTCTTCTTGGGACAAGGTCAGATCTAACAGAAATGGGAAGTAAATGGAGGAAAGCAAAGGTTGCTCTTGGATTGAATCTCTGCGTTTACGTTCCTAGAACTTTAGATGATGCTTCTCCCTCAGATGATGCTGCAGTAAGATATTCTGAGGTTTCTTCTCTTTCGCCATCGGTTTCACCAGGGGCCAGAAGCTCGGATTCTAGACCAGCAATGCCCACTACCCCCACACCGTCTTCGTCTGGTCTCAGGTTGCCAAAAAGCAACAGCAGGTCTTTGAAGGTTTGCATCTCTTCTTCATTATGTCATACTAGACCCAGAGTTTCACAATTGATTAATACTGCTGATATTTCCCCACCCTAGGATTTCCATGACTACCTAATTTTGAGTTTTGATCAAACATTTTAAGCATTTTTTAGTCATTGATTTTATTGTTTGGACTACCCAAAGAAATTTTTGCTCTTATTGTTTCCATCTCCTTAAGGTTTGAACTGAAACAAACAATGAAACGATATACCTCTTTTAGAAATATAATCAGTCTTGTTTCTTTGTCTGCTTGTATTACTTGTTTTTTTCTTTTTTCTCTTTTTTTTGGGAGGAGGGGAGTAAATGGTGAGCATAAATGAAAAATCTGATCTTATTTAATTTAATTTAACGTTCAGACTTTCATATTTTTCGTTGAATTTTCTGCTTGCTTTTTATATCTGTTCAACTATTAAATAATTTAGTTAACGAAAATAAAATCATTAGCAGCCCCATTTTTGGTCCCTCTGTTGCTTTGTTTTTTTTTTCTTCTTAGAATTTTATCAGAAGATAGTGAGCTGGGTTATCATTGTCAAGTTGTTTTCCCCACTGTGGCTTGTGGGGATAAAGTGCGAAGTAGTCCTTTAAGGACCATTGTCGTTTGGCTTATTACAAAAGCAAAACTCCTGGGTACCATTCCTTTTTTCCCCATCTCTTAAAGGGAAAGTAGCTTCTTTGGTCAGCAATAACAGTCTTCCATATGCATCTCTCTCTCTCTCTCTCTCTCTCTCGTATTTATATTTTATTTTGTAACAGAAGTCCGTAGACCGGTAATTGCCATCTTTTCAGCAGTAGACTTAACCAAAGGAAAAGTGTAAAAGAAAAAAAATGCAGTAACTCATGATTTCCTTCCTCCTTTTGATGAACGAACTGTGTATCTTTTTTTTTGCCTGATCGTCTTAAAGCTCTTAATCATTATTATTCTAAATTGCTCGACTACCCTTTTTCTTAAAAAGTCGCACCTTTGCCTTTGCTTAACTTGCCCAATTTACCCCCATTTGATGTACTAAATACCTGATGCGAGTCTTCTCCTGTTCCTGTCGGTTAGCTGATTTACTTGATGCTCCAGTTTACTTGAAATTAGCTCTATTTAGTTTATGCATAAATTTCTTTTTTTCTTTCTTTTTTTTTTTTTTTAGTTTATTCAAGGCGAGAGGGAGAATAGTTTTGGTCAATTAAGCTTATTCTCTAAATGAGCCCACCTACTTCAGCCCTTAGCCCCTAGCCCTCTGCCCTCCATTGGACTGGAGTTTGGAGACCCTCTTAATTGCCCATATGTTTACCTCCCAATACCATTTCAGCCCTTTGCTCCAGCATGTTTGGGAGTTATCCTCAATTGATCTTAGCAGTTGGTTGTTTTTCATTTTTTTTTACAAGTTGAAAGCAGTTTCGACTAAAAAAAGGTCCATTGTGACATGTAGTAAAGATAAAGAGTAGAGTGATAGAGTCAGTTTTCAATGCTCTAAGAGAGCTAGGTGACACCAGTAACTAGAAGAATCGGTTCAGATTTTGAAGTATTTGAAGGTTCAAGACAGCATACCAATGTGTGTTGATTGAACCCTAACAAATAAAAAGAAAAGATTAAAAAACTAATATTGTAACTAACCAATAAAATGATATAGCTTAATAATGTCTTATTATAATCTCAGAAAACTTAATAATACAAAAGTATATAAGAGCACTATGTACAAAATAAATAGGCGATTAAGTATATAAGAAATTATTTGAAAGAATTTCTTAATGTTGTTGTAGAACCTTTCTCCTTATGCCCAACGGATCCACTGAAAGAAACAAGTTATTTTATACTGATGCTAAGATCTGTTAATCTTTTTGGCACAGCCAATTTAATTGCATGCCCTGATAGATAGAATAGATTTACACCACATAGAAATGGACAAGAGTTGGGTTTCAACTTGAATTCTGGTCTCTGAATACATTCTTTTCTATTATTTCTTAACATTGCTAAGTTGCACCTCATTGGATTTCCATTTATTTGAATACAAAATTTTCTAGTAACTTCTTTTTTGATCTTTATGTTGTTTTTAATCCAATATGTGTTCAAAATACCCTTCTTTTTGTTTTTTCAATTTAAAGTATCTGCTTTCTCATAAAGTTCCATTTTAACTTGCAGAAGACCTGTGCAATATGTCTGGCCTCCATGAAACCAGGGCAAGGCCATGCCATTTTCACTGCAGAATGTTCACATGCTTTCCATTTTCAGTGTATTGCATCTAATGTGAAGCATGGCAACCAAACTTGTCCAGTTTGTAGAGTGAAATGGAAAGAAATTCCATTCCAAGGTCCAACTTCAGATCACCCCCATGGGAGGGCAAGAATTAGTCCAGTAGATTGGCCCCAAGATGATGCCTGGATGACTGTATTGCGTAGACTCCCTCCCCCACGACCAGACTCTCATCGGCCCATTGCATCACTTTTCCAGGCTCCTGAGCCGAATGTATTTAATGATGATGAGCCCTTGGAGCACCATGCTGATATGGCACAGATAAGATCTTCCACCAGGGATGCATGTGACAACAACTGCGTTAGAACTGTAGAGATGAAAACGTATCCTGAAGTTTCAGATATTCCAAGGTCAAGCTCCAATGAGAACTTCACCATTCTGATCCACCTTAAGGCTCCTGTTACAAGAACAGGCCAAAATTCAGGCGGGGATTTGGCTAACTTGTCAGCAGTTTCTCAACCTTCTCGCGCTCCAGTTGACCTTGTCACGGTGCTTGATGTCAGTGGTAGCATGGCAGGCACGAAGCTTGCATTGCTGAAGCGAGCCATGGGATTTGTGATACAAAACCTTGGTCCCTCTGACCGGTTATCTGTTATTGCTTTCTCGTCCACTGCACGTCGCCTTTTTCCTCTGCGCCAGATGTCTGAAGTTGGACGGCAGCAAGCATTGCAGGCTGTGAACTCTTTGATTTCGAATGGTGGGACAAACATTGCTGAAGGCTTGAGAAAGGGTGCCAAGGTGATGGAAGACCGCAGGGAGAAGAATCCTGTTAGCAGTATAATTTTGTTATCCGATGGGCAGGATACATACACTGTCAGTGTCAGTGGCCCCTTAGGAGCCCGACCCCACCAAGATTATCAGTCACTACTCCCATTGTCGGTACGTGGTGGTGGTAGTACTGGTACAGGGTGCCAGATTCCAGTCCATGCATTTGGGTTTGGTGCAGACCATGATGCTGCCTCAATGCACTCAATCTCAGAGTCATCCGGTGGCACCTTTTCTTTCATAGAGGCAGAGGGTGTAATCCAAGATGCATTTGCTCAATGTATAGGAGGACTCCTAAGTGTTGTGGTTCAAGAATTGCAAGTTAGAGTCGAGTCTATGCACCCAGGTACACGGGTTGGCTCGTTAAAAGCAGGAAGCTATCCAAGTCGGGTGATGGAAGATGCACGTATGGGCTTCATTGATGTTGGGGATTTGTATGCTGATGAAGAGAGGGATTTTCTGGTATCAGTCAATGTACCTGCAGTGGGTGGTTCCAATAAGGAGATATCGTTGGTGAAGGTGGAATGTGCTTATAGAGATCCAGTTTCGAAAGAAACAGTGCATTTAGAATTCAAGGAGGTTAGGATTCAACGGCCTGAGGTTGCCGGACCACGGGTGGTGTCTATTGAGGTGGACAGGCAGCGAAACAGGTTACAGGCAGCTGAAGCAATAGCAGCTGCCCGATCTGCAGCTGAACAGGGTGACCTAACTGGTGCAGTGTCAGTCCTTGATAGGTGCCGTAAAGTATTGTCGGAAACTGTGTCGGCACGAGCCGGTGACGGGCTTTGTGTTGCACTGGATGCAGAGCTCAAGGAGATGCAGGAAAGGATGGCTAGCCGACGTGTGTATGAAACATCTGGGAGAGCATATGTTTTATCCGGGTTGAGCTCACACTCATGGCAGAGAGCAACTGCACGTGGTGACTCAACTGATAGCACAACCCTGCTACAGTCCTATCAGACACCAAACATGGTGGACATGCTCACCCGGTCTCAAACCATGTTTCTCAGGGGTGCATCATCCCAGCCACCAGTGAGGCCAGCTCGGTCATTCACTGCACAGCCGCGGCCAAGGTAAAAAAAAAAAAAAATTACAAGAGATGTGGTGGAATTGGAAGTTATATTGAAATCACGTATGGGTGCCGCTTTGTTTTATTTTAATTTTGCTTTTTCAAGGGTTTAGGGGTATATATGGAGAGACACAGAGGGGGAGGGGGGCTTTACATGGTTGGGTGATTCTTCCTTTTCCTGTAAATGAAATAATATTGGGTGAATGATTGGGAAGCTGGCTGGGGACAAAAGGAGACAAGAGAGAGAAAAGCGGGGGTGGTTTACATACTTTTTTTTTGTTTTTATGTTGTATTGGGGGGGGGGGGGATGAATTATGTACATAAAGAGAGGGTGGGTGGAGGAGGAGAAAGAGTGGGGGTATAAGGTCTGTAACTCTGGGGATAAGAGGGGATGCATTCTACATCTACACCTACACTTCTATAAATATTATCTGCTATTGATTCTTTTTCCAAGTTCCTCCTTGTTCTTCATGATACGCTCCTTCTGTCAAATTGGGGGTCCACCGTTCACCTATTGATTGTAGAGGTTGTATGTATTTGGGGGTCGTCGCCTCGTCGGTGTGTCTCTCTTGGGATTTGAATTGGGTGGTTTTACTTTTGCGTTTTTGACTTTGGGTTTGACGTTCTTTGGTCCTGCCTTGGAAGTTGGACCTCACAAAGAGCCTATTTGCAATTTCATTCCATACATCATAATACCACCAAGGTGGTGTTTGATTACGTGTCATAGTCATTTCGTGGTTATGAAAGCCGTATACAGGTGTTTTGACTTACAAAATTATAATTTGTTTGGTAGGGCTGTTTCCATTACAGTTTTTATTTTATTAGAAAATATTCAATTACAATTATTTGCATTAGTACAATTACCTGTAAAATTTTCTAATCTCTTTCTTGGATTATATGAAAGCGGTGCAGTTGAATTAGACTAAGACCTGAAATTCCCCTTGGTTCTCGGTTTTATCGGTTAATTGGGTGGTTTGTTTGGCCCTCCAATCCAGATTAGGCTTACAATGTATGAAAGTTCATTTTGGAGGGAAATATTAGTTGACCATTTCTTAGGAGTGCATGTTCTATGTAGCGTGCAATGGTATTTATGTCAAGGTATCAGGCGAATTAATACTGTTTTTTGTTGTATTTTTTATTTTTTTTTATTTTTTGCAATCGGTTCAGAGGGCCAGTTTAGGGCTCCTCTACCCTCTGAACCGGTCAGACCCCTGATACAGCCACTGTAAGGGTGTATCGGAGGGTCCCAGAACGATACGTATTGGCCGATATGGGCCGATACGTGTCGATAGTTTGAACCTTGGTTTATGTATAATAAACTTCAATAAACAATTGTAAATTGTAACATTATATTTTKTGTCTAAAACTGTTTTTCTTTATGAATTCTAATGCTTAAATCAAGTATAAATGCAATGACTTCACAACATCCCAATATCAAATGCCTCAAGTCTGTGTAATCTACACAGTAAAACAGAAAACTTTGGATGTGTTGAGGACAGCCCATTTTCAGTAGGGGTGATCATAGGTTGGGTGTGAATTGGAATTTTTATATACAATTTATTTATACATTATGTAAGAGTATAATACGAATTTTGGAGCTGGGGTGAAAATTATCACCCCTAATTTTTACAATCAGATGTCTTTTTCAGCCATCACCATTACGTAGGATGGAAATCCATCTTTCAACTTTCCTCTGACTTCTTAATTTTCCAAGCCGTCACACCGTTTTCCAAGTTTTAGAGGCCAAATCATCATCTATAGAAATACGACCACAATCATTATGGAATTCAATTCTGTATTACGTGGGCGCTAGTAGTTGTACAGTGCATAGATTTTGTAGTCTGCTTTCAGGGTGACGGGATCTCCTTCAACTGCAAGCCAAAGGCCCAAAGCTCTTCCACGCACTTTGAATGTATGGTCATATCTAGCCAACAGTGTCACATGTACATGGGTGGTTATATTCCCGGTGTTCTTTTACATTCTCCTTCCTCCTCACTGTATAAACTTAACTGTAACTTCCGATTAACCTAACTGCTCAGTTTGGAGTTCGGCTTCGGTCAGGGCAAGCCTTTACAGCCTTGCATTGAGAAAATCTCCCCCCTTATATRTTTTATTTCATGGGAGATAATCCCAATGCAAGTTTGCAAAAGAAGTTGGAATTTGGAACCGTGTGGGCGTGTTTGCCTAAACGAAGCTGATCTCCTCAGTTCTGTATCATTAAATATCAAAGGTACAAACGGGATCTGCTTCTTACACATGGGCGCCTCACAGGTACATCCACCGTGCATTGAGAATATCTCCTGAGAATAATAATTTATAAATAGGGAAATGTGTCCAATGCATGGGAGGATGTGCATGTGAGGTCGGTGTGAGGCGCCCTGTGTGAGGAACAGATCTGATCTCCAAAAGTAAAATGGGTGGTTAACTGAATTGACCAATAGATTATAATATAATATATTATATGTATTTATAATATTTATATATCTTTATAATATACATTATAAGTTTCAAAAAATTGAAAAACCTACGAACTGGACCTACAGTTAACCAATTGGCTTCCGTTTAGTTTTGATTCATGGTATTCCCAAAACTGGTGGTTTCGGTTCGATTTGAAAAACAGGCCCCCAGTTCAATTAGCCGAATCATGAGCACCCCTCATCAAAATGGTTCTGATTAAACTTGTTAATGGGCCGGGCTCAGGCTTAACTTTTTGCCTTTGAATGGGCCCAGTCCAAACCCACAACGTTGTAAAATGTTCATGGACCACACCGGAAGTCCGATCCGTAAACAGGTGTTAGTTATGGTTATCCTTATGTTTGAGTTGAGATTTTCCGAGTTTCAACTTTTAATTGTTAATTTTCGTTTTGATTCGTGTCCGGAGATTCTCTCTCGCGTCTTCGACTGCGGGCCTCTCTCTCACATCTGTGAGATTTTTTTTTGTGTGTGTTCTGGATATGAGCGTCTGCAGGAGAGTTTTCTGGGAAAACAGTGTCGGTAACTGTTTCTATGGATTTGATGTTGCCATTTCTTCAACGTTATAGTGGCGAACAACTTGTTTCATTTTTCCTTGGAATTGATRTGGATTTCTTCTCTCTCTATCATCTCTCATAACATTGATATAGGCTTTTATGGCATATAGGTGGATTTCTTTGTGGTTTGTTATTTTTTGAGTTTTTCTATGGAAGTGGTTCCGGTGCCCGATGATGACAGATGTTGTTCGTCTTACGGTCGTTACCCTACCTACTTGTGCAAACCTGTTGACCAGCAAATTTAATCCGATGGCTCATTCCGGTGGACGAGTAGGTCTTGGATTTGGAGTTGTTTCGTTTTAAAATTTTTATATTCTAAGGTCCATACAGATTACAGAGTGGACAGATGGCATGTCGATTTTAAGTGATTACAGTGTGATTTGTTTTGATGTAAATGACAAATAAAATAAAAAATTCACTGTAGAAGAGACAAACTGAAAATTTCTGCTCCAAAATTCATTACCTATTTTCGTAAACGAGATTGTACATACAACATATAAGATTTTGCGCTTTCTAAATTTATATTTGTGATCCTTTCAAATTGAGCGTGAATGATGCTTGATAGTATCAATGTGGCTCAGGTAGGAGTTTTGACAAAAATTACATGGGCCTGGTTTAGGCCTGGTGCCGAATTAAATTTTCTTAGATACCTGACTTGTTCCCTTTTATGTGGCCAAGTATGTTCGGGCTGAACATTGCCTTTTATACCCTCTGGTGTTGATATTTATGGTATGGATTATGATAAATTGGAACTTGGAAGGTTGTGTGGATCAAATATATTTGGATAAAAATCCATGATATAGTGTAAATTGATTGTAGTGTACTGAAAAATTGAACCATCCACAATTTTGTCCATAATAGTAAATATTACATTGACTCTCACGAAGTGTGCCCCAAATACATTGACTGATTATATCCGGACTGTGCATTGGAAAGTGGAAACATTTTCCCAAGACAAATATGGAAGATATTCCCAAAGCACTAATTGATGTGTCATGGGGTGCTTGTCTGGTGCACACTGCACAGCATGAGGAGTCAATCCAGATTCACCTTTTTAATTTTGGGCTATACTTTTTTTTTTTTTTTGTGAGAAGATTTTGGTGGGATGCAAAAGAATGAGATGAGAAAGAAATAATAGATAGAAAATTTTTACATAAAAGGAAAAGCATCGCAAAAATCAATCCTAATATGATTTTATTAATAATTTTATTTTATATTAATAAATTTTTAAATTATTTAGCATTGTCATAACTTAATTATTTTTATTAATCACGAATTCCTCTTAACATCCTATAAATCGAGTCTGGATCACGTGCAAACAAAATAAATCCCAACAGCTTACCATTATAATTTTGGGTTTTTATAACTCAGTCCATCTCAGAAATCTGAGCCCCATGGTAAAGGTGGGATGAATCCTGACTCTGAATTAATGTCAAATTTATAGGCAGAATGCGGTTTATTGGAGAGCTACTAGTAGATTAGAAGGTGACTGTAATTTCATATTTTTGAGGTGGATTGCAGTCTATTTATCCCTTATAATTTCACACAGCACATCTCATTCAATTTCATGCTGAAATAATATTTGAAAATTAGGAAAAATATTAGGAAGAATGACGGTTCAGCCTAGGGTGGTTCCCTACGTCTAGTTGAACAGTGCAGCACACGAGAGTAGAGTGGTTACTTACGTGTGGTTAGACCTGGCAAAAAGTTGACTCAACCCGTGAACCCGACCCAACCCAAAAAAATAGGGTTAGGGTCTCATAGTTAGCAACCCAAACATGAAAGTGACCCGACCCAAAAAATTGGGTTGGGTTGTGTTGGGTCATGGGTCAACCCGCTGACCCGTTTGTTAAGTTTAATTGAGATTATTTATGCATTGTTAGAAGTTTCCACTCTTTAATTTTTTCTATTTAGTCTTTACTTTTTATTGTTTACTCTTTAAATTGTTAAATGCTCAAGTTTTTATTTTATATTTAGAATTTTAAGGTTAGTTCTTTTAATTTTGACATTTTTCATGTAATTTTTCTTTATTTTTTTTAAATTTAATTATTTTTTGGGATGACTCGAATTGACCCATGGGTCAACCCTAACCCAAACATTTAGGGTTAGGGTGTAGCATTTGACAACACAACCCGAAATTCAATCCGACCCGAATACATTGACACAACCTGAACCCAACCCACCTAACCCCATTGCCAAGTCTACGTGTGGTTGATTATGATTAAATCGGACAAGTGTACATAGAAAAGAGAGAAAGAAAAAGGGTGCAAATGCCATAGGGTCACGTCTGTCGTCTGCCAGATGTCATGTCGACATATCTCTTTAGGCTCTGTTTGTACAAATGTAAATATGTACAACATAAATATATATAAAATATAAGGTTTTGCACTCTACATATTTGCATTTATAATCCTTCCAAACTCG